TATAATCGTAAAAAACATATATGTGATGTTAAAACGTTTTTTTATTAAAGGTGTATATAAAGTTTTGACACATGTTTAGCGATTAAAAATTTAAAAAATCAACCACATGTAAATCAATCATACTTTTCTCATTAAAATTTATAAAGGCCTAATAGAAGAACATGATTGAAAAGTTTAAATTTTTCATTTTGTAGTTTCTAATTTTTTTATTTTTTATTAGCTTCAAAAATAGTTTTTAAAAATTAACCAAAAACACTTTTTAAAGAGCTAGAGTTCTCAAATGAACACTGAATGGGTTTATCGAATGTAAATTATTAATTTATCGGAAGATCAATAGCATAACTCGAAATTAAAATCTCAAGCTAGATAAGTCCAGCAATCCTCTCAGCCAAACTCTTTAGTTGTTAGAAAATAGAAACATAAATTAAGTTTTTTTTTTTTTTGGGTACATGTTATCCACCAAAGCTATGATAATTGTGTTGGAGGTAAGGCTCCATATGACTCGCAAAAACACCCAGCATCGTAAATCAGAATCCAAATAATTTGTACTTTTAAAATTGGTTTTGTATTGTTGTGATGGATTGAGTTATGATTATTGTGTTGTGCTACGTTGCAAGATAAAAGTAGTATTTAGTTAAATTATATTCGCGTGCTTTTGAAATATAAGATGACGAATAAAGCTACACTAAAAATATTTAAACACATAGATTTCTTTTTTATTAAATGATTTATGCCTTCTTAACTTGGATAAAATGTGAACATAAAAGCAATTCTTATATTCAATATATATATTGAAATAGAATTATGTAAAAACACTACAATATTAGGTATGTGTAATTTTATTTAAAAAATAATGGGGGAAGTTGTTATTTTAATTTAAAATAAACCTCATAATAAACATTTATGCTTTTGGTAAAAAAAAAAAAAGATTACAAACAAAACATCTTTTTAGAATGGCATCTGCTTTGATTTCAAAGAAAAGCAGTTTTCTTTTAGAATAATATTAGTTTTTTTATCCGTATTATACTGCAGTTCGGATAAAACGTATAAAATTATTTTAGTTTGATGTTTCGTGTTGTATTATGCATATATCAAAATATATCAAATCAAAACTCGAATAAAAATTTATTCAATTTTATAATTTTGTAATTAAAATTTTGTAGTTGATCGATTATACTTTATATTTTTTATTAAAAAATTATTTATTATTTATCTCTATCCACAATTAAAAAATTTATAATAGTATAAAAAATGTCAAAATCAATTGATTTTTAGCTAAAAACTTATTTTCTAATTTTTTTATAAACATTTTTTTACCATAAAATTTTTAATTTAAAAATCGTAGAAAAAAAGATCAAAGTGATCAAAATAAAAAAAAGGATCATAAAAAAATATTTTTCGATTAAAAAAACAATATTTAGAAAAAAAGATAAAATGTAATGTTACGAAAACTTTTATAATAAATATTTTTAAAATATTTAAAAATTATAAAAATACTATTATATAGTGAAATGAATAATGCTAATGAGCCTGGATAAATAACGCGAATAAGTAATCCAGCTGCGCTTTAGAAATACAGCGATACCAGACACATATAAATGATAAGAGTTCTTTTTTCTTGTTTTTATTTTTAGAGATAATGCTGATTAGAAGTTACGAAACTTTCAACTTTATTTCCCTTCTAGATGTTGTAGTAAAAGTATATAGCGGAATAATTGGCTGCATGCTTTCGGAAAAAGAAACTTTGGATTAGCTTCTAATTTGTGATGGATTGGTTCGTCAACCATTTCCTATCTTCTATTGGTGTATATGAATCAAATTTCAAAATCAAATGATAGTGTGGTCTTTATTGATAGCAATTTATTAGTAACCGATTCATGGGTTTGGTGTATTACCTGAAGAAATTTGGAAACACTCCATCAAAATTCAAAGTTAATCCTCTTTGCTTTCAACAAAGAATAAAGACACGGTTTAATTTCTAGCATACCTCCCGAACCACAATAAAAAGAATTTGTGTATATATTTGGATGCCTAACATAGAAATCTGTTTTTTTTAAGTATTCTCATTTCACATTAAAAATATGAATAATTGTATTCTAAATGAAAAGGATAGGTTTTAAACTCTTTTAATAAATGCAACTTAAAAATTTATAATGGTAGAAAATTAACTCGTTTACTATATATATATCTTCTCATTTCTTCCTTTAATTTTGAATTGAGATTGGATTGTCAAAAATAAATGCACCGAAAGAAAGAAAGCAATGTGTCAAGGTTTGGCTGCCAAGGTAGACCATATACATATTTCAAGAAAAGAAGACATAAGGTGACTTACGGTTGTAAGCAAACCTTATCTAACTGGTTGTTGAACATTCCTGTTTTGAGCATGATTTTGCCTTATTAGAGGCATTAACAAAATGTATGGACCATCATAAAGATACACCATTCTTACTTCTTTGAATTACCAACCCTCTCCATCATTTTATGAATTGACAAAAAAAACTTTGCTTTATATTTTTACCTTATGTTAAAAATTTCGTAATACTAATTGCAAGAATAATCTATAAACCTAGTATACAATCGAATGATAGGCATCAAGTCTGAAAATTCTATAAAATCATTCCCTTTGTTTTTTTTTTTTTTTTTGTTTTTAACATAAAAAGATATGGTCTGATAATGTCCTCTCTCTCTCTATATATTCTTACCATGTACTAAAAAAAAACAAAATTACCTTATTTTAATGAAAAGGCAAAAAAGCTATTTCCATATGAATATTTTCAAGATAGAGCTCCATATCAATATCAATTTGGTAACTCCTTAAAATTATGGAGTGTGAATAATAATAACATATTTAGAGGAGTGCCAATCTAATTACAGTTGTCTGAGATAATTTAGTCGAAAAAAATCATACCATAAACTTAAGCAAAATGATTATCATGTCCTATTGATTTTACTGAAATTGACGTTGGTTTTAAAAGGAGTACGATGCATTGTATTTGTCCAATTTTATTAACAAAAAGAATATTGTATAAACCACGCAACTTCCTTTTAATTTATGCGGCTGATCGTCACATCCTTAATTAGTTATAAGGGAGGGTGCATGTAATCTGACGTTCTAGATTTGATAGTTAAAGTATTTTTCCCCTTTCTTAAAAAAATAAAATAAAAGTCTTAACACGTAAAAAAAGATTATGAACCATATATATTTCTCATTTCCAAGTTCTAACTATTTTTTTTTCATACAAGGCAATTATAATTGTATCGGTATTTATTAGTAAAAAACTTACTATTTAAAAGGAGTTATTAAAAAAAAAATATCATTCACAATCAGTTTAAATTTGGGAATGCTTTTCATTTTTTTTTATGGCATTCAAATAGTAACTAACAACTTGTATTTTATAAAAAAAAGATAAACAGAGAAAGAGAATTAAATAAAATTGAGTTTAAATAAAAATATTATTATCATTTTTGATAGATTCAGTTGTATTTTTTTTAAAGTCTGTCTATTTTTCATAATAAATTTAAATAAATATTAATAATTATTTCTTTAATAATTTAAAATACTTTTAATTTGTTTTACTCTAAATATACCGAGGATGATTAGAATTAAGTTGCTTATTGATATTATATAATGCATTGATGGTTAATAGTAAGTTGATAAAATCCATCAACTCTAATTGCATGACAATTTCAATAAACTAAGCGCCAAAATTTTGTTATTGTTGGCATGATCAAAAGAATAGGGAAAATAGTAAAAATTTCTCGCAAACCCACCTAATTTTATTATTGTTAGGTTCTGATCGTTGGCATGATAGAGAGCAATAGAGAAAAAAAAACACAATTATTATTATTTACTCGTAAATTATTATAACCAAAAGATAACGAACTTTGATAATTGCTATAAATATGCATTTTGACAAACCATTTTTGTGTTATGAACTCTAATTGCGTTACCACTGTTCTAATTTTTATTAACTCACACATCTAGAAAGAAAATAACTAAATTTAATAGGAGTCGTAAAACACATTAAAAAAAAAAAAAACTCTTTTCATACGCTATGGAATGGAACCATCAAAAGAATAGTGGAAATAGTCAAAATTTGAATGAACTCAGCATGCCTTTCATATTTAATTCGTTGGATAAACAAAAACCCACCTAATCAGGAAGTTAAAAAAAAAAAAAAAACGCCTCTTAACCCTTTCTTATTTTGACCGTTTCCATAAAGTAAAGTAAAGATTTTTATGATTTTCTTACCAAGTATGTCAGACAACCAGCGTTTTTCCATTCCTCTATAAATGCCAATCCCGCTCCCCTATTTCTTTCTCCTCTCCTTCGTGGCAGGCGCCCTCTCTCTCTCTCTCTAAACATCTATCTTCTCCCTCAGGTATCTATCTCTTTCTCTCTCTACGTATAATCATACCTATTTGCTTACGTTTATACGGTTGCTAATTAAGCAGATCTGGCCTTGCTTATTCAAGTGTTTGATCAGATCTGGCTTAGGCTTACTTAGCTGTTTTATTTTTGAGCCGTGATTAATTTTTTTTTAGTAAATAAGTTTTATATATTCCTCTAGAATTGGTATTTACTTTTTTTCTCGAAAATTGAATTTTGTTAGTTTTTAATTTTTTTTCTTTTTGGGAAATAAGAGGAATTTTTGGGTCCTTTTGGTCAGTTTGTTCTTGATTTTAATGGATTTTGTTTGTTAAAAGGTTTGCGTCTAGATCTGTGATTCCTTCTGTTTGGTTGCTCGGAAAGTAGAGGAAAATTGAATAATTTGAAACAGATTTGAAAATTTCTTCATTTTTTTTTCCGTAGTCAAAATTTGAGTTTGATTATTTTTTTTTGGTGTAATTTTTTGGTTATTTTTTTTTGGGTTTCGAATCGATCAGAGTTATTTGTTTTATAGTAATTACTTGATTTTTCGTGAAGATTTTTATGGTTTTTCTTTTTTGGAAAATGGACAGGCGTTATACTGTTGTGAATATATTGTAAAAAATTGAAGATGATGAATCAAGCCAGTCTCCAGCAGAACGCCGTTACTTTTTGTGATGAGAGAAAAGGTTTGGTTTCGATTTCTGATTCCAAGGGTCCTGTTGTTTGTCCAAAGCCTCGGCGAGTAGGAATTTTGGCTAATAATCCCATCAGGCCTTTGAGATGGTCAGCGAGGTTAGTTTTTAGTATTATCTGCTTTTGGGATTAGGTTATTCAGTTGCTTTGTGATTCGAGAGGATTTTAATGAGTGTGAGGATTGTTTTGAATGACAGCCATCAAGCCGAAATGTGTGATTCGAAAGCTGGGGCAGAGCTTCTGGACATTATTCTCATGAAGGTAAACTGGCGTTTTTTTTGTGTGGAAGTTAGGGTGACTTGTTGCTTAGGTTTTTGGTAGAAAGTAGTCAAAGTTGATAATTTTGATGTGTGGTAGTGATATTTTTTATGCATTATCCTTGTTAAGCCTCATCTGTATCTGGTGGGATGCATCTGATCTGGAATTATTTTCTTTTGTTGAGGATATTTTGTTGTCATTCATCCAGTTTGTTTGCTGGTCGTTCAGCATTTCTGTACATGAATATGATTCTGCAAGTTGTATTTTATGTTTGGAGGTTTGTGCTGACTCTGACTATGACCTTGGTGTTAACAGGAGGGTCATGGTTCAGATCATTCTGCAACCGAGGTGGCCTCGTCGCCACCACCATTTTTTTGTGGGTCTCCTCCAACCAGAGTAGGCAACCCATTAATTCAAGATGCCAGATTTGGGGATGAAAAACACACTCCAATGTCACCACTGTCCATTCCATCTCCTTCTGGTTTATCATCTCCATCATCATCTGCACGCAAGGGAGGGTGTGCAAGAATGAAGTTTGGGCTTAAACCAGCTGCAGTTAGAGTAGAAGGATTTGATTGCCTCAACAGGGATCGCCAAAATTCCAGCATCCCTGCTGTGGCTTAGAACTCACGAAAGGAAGTGTATATAGAAGGGAGCTAAATCGCCACCAGAGTCACCAATACAGCAGATTTAACAAGAGGAGTTTTGAATCTTTTTGCCGAGAGTCTTAAGAAATGCTCTTTAGTAGTGTATATATGATATGTTTTTGTCGGTGATCATCCCTAATATTCTGTGTAAGTAGTTGATTGAACAAAGAAGAGGGGCCAAAACCTTTTGTTCTTAAGCAAGGTTTTGAGAGCGTAGGTCATTTGTAATATAAGGTAAAGTGGGTTAGTATTGGGAGGGTCGTTTGATTTCATTCGATAATCACCATGGAAAAAAAAAAAAAATCCTGTATAGAAGCAATTGGTGATTGAATTTTGAGAGGGGCCAAAACCCTGTAAATGTATGTATATTGGTAATTGTCAATGGATTGGTCTGTTCTTGTATCTTGCTTCTTTTCCTTTCAATTTACTCAAATGCTTCCGTCCTTGATTCTCCCATGGGGTCTAGGTCTTTCAGTTTTTTGGTGGTTGCATCATCAAGATCTAACCTTTTCAGCATCAAGTGGAGGCCCTCGATTCGTTACTCCTTTTATTTTAAATTTTTGCATTAACTTTAAAGGATTTAAATGCTGGTGGAATTATTCAGTAAAAAATCCTGTTAAACACAAGAACCATTATGAATGCTAGTTATTTGGAAAGAAAGGGATTACTATTTGGCAGCTAGCTTGGTTGGTGTGGATTGATCGCTGTCGTTTTGGGGCATTCCATTAACATTCAATTTCATTTACCTGCATGGTAGCCACAGATTTGGTATGGCCAGTCGCTGACTTAATATCCCAACAAAAGATGAACTCATGAAACCTCCAAATCCACTCATCTTTTACTCCATAAAATTCACAATGAACTTTGTGTTCGATGTACCTCTTTAAAGTTACAGGGGTGAAATCACAGTAGGTTAAAATCTCTTTAACATACAACTTTTAATGTTATTTTAGCCTTTCTTTTTCTTACATGCATTCAATCTAATTACCTCTTTGAAATAAGAAAACGTAATAAAGTTGGAAATGAAGAAAAATTTAAGATTGGGAACGATATTTCCCCCACCCACCCCCATTTAATTGGCAAATGAATGATCTGGGTTGAATTTTAAAACAAAACATCAAAATTTCAAATATCGAACCATTTAATATAAATCATTTTTTTTGGGCTTTTCTCCGGGCTGATACACAAGCCCGTATCCAGGTTCTTTTAGTCTCTCTCTATCTGTCTTCAAAGCTTGTCAAAATCGTCTCTGAGGATTTTTTTTTCCCGGTTCATCAGTAACAGTTGAGTCTGAAAGCTCAAAATACACAGTTTGATTTCTTCAAAGATTTGTAAGTAAATATTATTTAATCTTGATAAATAATTCACTTTGATCCCATTTTGCTTGTGCCTTGATAGCTGTTCTTATCCTTAATTTACTGTTTATGCATGATATGCTGGAAATAAGTTTTTGCGATGCCCTAATTTTATTCTTTCCAAAACCCTTTTTTCTTACTCTATTTTGTGTTTATCTTATGCTTTGTTGGTTTCAAACACTAAGAAATCCTATTATTGCACTGAATTCATTAGGTGAATCTCTTGTTGTGGTCTTAATTATGCATCTTCAATTAATTTGGGATTTGGGAGCTTTACAACGTTGGATTGGTGGTTTTTACTTTTGCATTTGGCAACTTATTTAATAAGAGGGTATGTATCTTGAATTAATTACAACATTGGATTAGTTGTTTATACTTACGCATTTGGCAACTTATTTAATAAGAGAGCAACGTTTCAGAATACTGTAACTTTTAGTGAATTGCAAAAACAACTGAGTACGTAACGGTTTGCTTCTTCCATCTGCGAGATGATATTAAACATTGCTGACTTTTCATGCAAACTTTCGGAAACATAAAGCCATTGTGGTGAGAATGTTTGATATCTTCTTGTCATCGGGTGTCTATATCATATCGTTAGTGGAGGCATGTTATATTGAAATTACAAAATTCATAATTGGAAAGTGGTAGTTTGTGTTGGATTGGTTTTATGTCCTTACATTTTGGTTTAACTGTCTCTTCTTATCCGATTTCTTGTCGCATTTGAATTAAATGGTGGCTAGATTAGTTCTCAAAGATTGTTAAAGGTGTAATAACGGTAGGGCCAAATTATGTTCTTTTAAATACTCTTTCTCCTGCTCTATGTTGTGTTTATGTCATGCTTTGTTAGTGTCAAACTATCATATTATTGGACTGGATTCATCAGGTGAATCTCTTGTGGTGGTCTGTTTATGTATCTCAAATTAATTTGGGTTCTGAGAGCATTATAGCATTCCCTTAATTGTTTGCTCGTGCATTTGGCAACTTATTTATTGAGAAGGGAATGTGTTGAGTAGTGTAACTTTTAGGGAATTCCTAAACAGAATGAGTAAATGCATGTTTCTGACTTCTGGTGCAATTTATCAAAAAATATACAGCCATTGTAGTGAGAAGGGTTCATATCACCTTGTCATTGAAGTATCTGTACCATATCGTTGATGGAGGTGCGTTCTATTGAAGTAACGAAAAGCATAATTGGAAATTTGTAGTTTGTATTGGATGGTTTTATGCCTTGCATTTTGGTTTAAACTTCACGTCTGATCCGATTTCTTGTCGTATATGAATTAAGTGGTGTCTAGATTAGTATTTAAATTATTGAAGATTGTTAAAGGTGTAATAGTGGTAGTTCTCTATGTCGTGTTTATGACATGCCTCATTAGTGTCAAACACTTAAAAAAAAAAAAAAAATCATATTCGTTGACTGGATTCATAGGTGAATCTCTTAGGGTGCTCTTGATTATGTATCTTGAATTAATTTGGGATTTGGGATTACTTGTGCATTTATTAAGAGGGGAATGTGTCAATAGCGTAACTTTTAGGGAATTCCAAAACAGAATGAGCGAATAAAGTTTGGCATCTCCTATCCACGATATGAAATGAAATTTTTCTGACTTCTTGTGCAATTATCGGAAATATACAGCCATTCTAGTGAGAATGGTTCATATCCCCTTGTCATCAAAGTATATATATCGTATCGTTGATGGAGGCGGATTCTATTGAAGTAACAAGAAGCATAATTGGAAAGTGGTACTTTGTGTTGGATTGGTTTTATGTCCCCACATTTTGGTTTAACTGTTACTTCTAACCTGATTTCTTGTCGTATATGAATTAAGCTGTGGCTAGATTAGTAAATAAGTTATCAAAGATTGCTAAAGTAGTAATAGTGCTAGGATCTAAAATGCTACTCAATTTGTTGTCATTTTTTGTTGAAAAACTGTTTTACCACCTGCTTCTTCTCTTGATTATAGTTTTTAGGAAAATAACAGCTGCCCATCAGCATGTTGTTAGTCACCGATAATGATTGCTAACTGTGCTCACAAATGACATCATTTTTTTTTGTGATTTAATAAATGGTTAATCATCATGTTAAATGGTATATTATGGTTGTTAGATTGGATCGTGTTGCAGGTTTTCCATGATAATTGACCCTAGCAATTTTTGGTCATCAGTTTATCTTTTAGCCTCTCTGTCTGTCTAATTTCAATCGTCTGTTGTCTATACCATTCAAAAAGCCATTGTGCCTGAACTCTATGGAGATTTTGTTGTCTTAAACATTGTCGCTTGATCAAAACTAGCAAAATCTGCTTTTGAAGTTCGACTAGATTATTCATTTGTTCAAATTCTGCAATTTTTAGATAATATTGTTTTTTAATTTCTATTCTTTATCTTTGCTCTTTATACATGGCGTGTTCAGATCAGCTTTTCCAATGGCAATTTTGTTTTAAGTACCAATGATTCATGCTTTATGTGATGTTTATGTTTTCCTCTATTAGTGAAGGGAAAAAAAAAAGTTATTGTACTGGACCCTTTCAGTTACACTCTCATTTTGGTGACTTTCTTGTATTGCTCTTGTGAAGTTTATCAATTTAGTTAGAGTGTTGAGCTTCTCTATCAATATTTTTGGATCCATTAAGCTTTATGGAAAAAAATTTCAATAGTAGGACTCTGGTATTGTAATTCAGATTTTAGATAATGTTAACTGATACATTTTCACATCATTTAAATTCAATAGTCAATTGCTTCATGATGTACATGGTGTTTAATGTGCTAATTGCACATGGCACTGTTGACTATAGAAGAAGCACTTATGAATTCCATATCGTAACGTCCAATTAGTTATTTATGATAATGCATTTGGTGACTGATCTAAGAAGAATTGTCGATTATCGTATGCTTTAGAAAATTCCAAAATAGAATGATTAGACAGAGATTTACTTCCATCCATGATGTGGTACGAAATATTGCCGATTCTCGTGCAATTTATCGGCAATTTACAGCTGTAATAGTGAGAATAGTTGATAACTCCTTGTCATTGAGGGTCTGTTTTGTATCATTCATAGAGGCACGTTACTTCCATTTAAAACTCGTTAGGGAGTCACTTGACAATTGGTTGCCATGCTGTTGGTTTTGCACTCTGTGAGCTGAAAAAGAATGTTTTAAATCATGTTTAGCTCAACCTTGTATGTGATAATATAATTTCTGAAACTAGATGTTATTTGTATTATGTTTTCATTGGCAGATTGTTTTACTGTATGCTCAGTGTCTTGATCATTGATTGTAGGCTAGTATGAAAAACTTCTTGTAGGCTGAAAGTCTTAACTTCTTTTCAGTTCACTGTCACAGGATGTGCAGAAAAAAGAGTTTGTGAGGTGGGAGAATATATTTTTCTGAGTCTGGAAGGCCCTGCAAGTGAGCATGGAGTTGTTTTGATCTAAAATTAAAAGATTAGGATTTTGGTTGGATAGATATTCAACATACTGAAACCTCCTCTGTAGTTTGCCTTAGGAAAGTACATAAAAACAAAGTACAAGAGCAGCTGAATATATACATCGCTCATGAAGATGGAAGATATGGCCAACTAAATGAGGCAAGGAGTTCACTGAACGTTCCTTGGTTTTGAACATAGATAGCATTAAAAAACTGAGCTTGTCAGACTAGGATTTTTTTTTTCCTTGGATTAAAAATCACGATACGCATTTGCAGAACACATAAGCTAGTGGTTTTTTTTTTTAAATAATTGGAGGGAGAAATGGACTAGGCATGTTACTTTTAGATTGAGGCTCCATTTATTTTTCTGCCAAAACAAATTTTTGGTAAATAGTTAGTTTATAGGAAGAGGTTTCCATGTTATTTCCTGGTTTTCGTGCATAATTTATAGTAAGACGGCCGATGGTTGTTGCCATTGCTGGCGACCAAAGGTTTGGGATGGTTGTCATCCATGGTGCTTTTAGTGGTGTTAGCTTATGGCCTGTTCTGTGGTCACTGCTAGTGATTGCCAACAGTGTTAATATGTGAGAATCATCCTGGGAGCTTGAGGCAGGTCCAGTATTACTCCACCGTCTTACTAAACTGGGTGTTTCGCATGGCTAACCATGTTAACTAGCATTATACTAGCAATCCCGAGAGCTTGAGGAAGGTCCAGTATTACTCACTGTTTTACTACTTACTAGGTCTTTCACATCGTTAACCATGTTTAACTTGTACATTATAGTGGTTTGAGTAGTATTGCAGTTCTTTTTTTTTTTTTTTTTTGGGTGGTATATGTGTTGTAGTTTTCTTCAATTAATTTAGTGTGACAATTAGCAGTGACCGGCACATGATCGTGTGGAATGGCACAAAAGGATCCATATAGTCAACCCGGACTGGTATGGAAAAGAGGCTTGGTAGTTGTATTAGCAGTCATCAGCTTGTTGCTGTGGCATCACATAGGGAGGGTTTTGCTAGGTAAGCAATTAGCTTGACAGGTAGGTAGGGAAAAATTGGCTTTATATGCCTTTTTATAGCACCCATTTTAGTTGACTTGTTTTTTGGTGTTGCATCCGATGCAGAAAATGTTTCCTGCGCGTTTTTATCCATGTGAAAGAAAAAGCTCGAGATTCCTGTTGATTGATCACGTAGGAGTTGACAAAAATCCGAAGTCGGTTTTTGGCTATTGTTTTGAATTAAGAGCACCTGCCACTGTTTTTTATTGGGAGGGATGGAGCAGGATTTTTTTACTATGTCTTCGAAAGTTCTGGTCTTACAATGCCTTTTCCGACATATATAGTTACCTTTTTGTCAATTTGGTCTTATTTCACCAAACAAAGATAATTTAAAATGAACTTGAATTCCTCGGAGATGTGGAATGTAAAGAATCGAAAAGAAAGAAGGGCCATACTTGGGCGAAATTTTAATGGACTTTTTAAAGGAAAACAATTTATTGCTCTTAAAATGTAACTAATTGATTAGAGAATCAAGTAAGTAAACTGATTACCTTGAGTCGGCTACCTAGTGATGACCATAATTGATTAAAGACAGAATCATTAGGGGTCTTCATCTTTTTAGTTACCTTTTCCCATAGCATTATGAACTAATGACAAAATTTGTTAATTGCCTTAGTAGTTTTCACCTCTCAAATCCGACTAAGATCCTTTATTGCAAAAGCCATATACCTTTGGTCATACTAATACAATTAAATCTATATCCGCAAGGAGGAGTTAAAAGGAGCCTTTCCTTGTGTAGCTCAAAATTCAATGGACTTTCTGTTGAATCAAGAAAAAATCTCCGCCTAAACCTTCCTAGAGTTTTAATGGAAATTCTAAACTCTGACATTGGAATATTGGACTCACTATGGAGATTACAGACCATAGAATTTTGAGTGCAAATATTGAAAAAGTTGGTACCCAGCTTGTAAAAACTTCCTTCTGGGAGCGAAGTCTCGCGGGGCGATGAGCCACAATCTTTAAATATCTATGCATGTATCTGCTTTATGGTATTTAGAATTAACTGATCCAATTGCTTATTTTTTTTTTATCCCTAAGTTATTCCGAGTTTAAAAATCCGAGACTAAACTATCCAAAAAGTTTTCTTCATGTCGAATGTATAAATTTGGATATAGCTATTCAAAAAGTTTTCTTTATACATAAAGATTCAAACTTAAAATCACTTCTTTAAATAAATAGTCTTTCTACATAATCTGAGACTAGCATCTATTTCTTTTTTTCCTAACAATCTGCGGTATTTTTGGATAAACATTAAGAGTAAACTAAGATTACATGATTTTCTTTCCAGACAATCCTTCGTAATGGACTGGTACGTATAATATATAATTCAGATGAATAATTTTCTCTACATATTGATTTCAAAATTCGAAGTGAAGAGAACCAATTCCTGAGGTTCCGCAGCATCTACTTAAAATTTCAAGAATGGAGTTTCAAACAAAACCACTAATGTCTTTCTGCTAATCTTATTAAAACATCACATGATGCGTGTCATGTATGGTCTGTATATTTCAAATTATGAACACAAATTCAAATTACTAAAGGCCTATAAAACATTGGTCGTTCTTCACAGAAAGATGAACAAACAAAGTGGCTTATCCAATAATTAAACATCCCAATTGTTGATGATTCTACTTGTTCTCAAAATAAGGATATATATATATATATATATAGCTTTTGTACTTTAATTACTTTTCCTTAATCTTTAATAAAATTATGATCACATTAATCCAAAAAAATCTTAGTTATTCTTAGAACTGACAGTAGGTTTGAAGAGAAAAGAAACTGAGTAGCATTTCCTTTCATTTATTTTTCTCCCTTAAACCTTGAAAAAAAAAAAAAACATTATGAATGAAAATCAAACGAACACACCATAAAGAGAGCTGTAACAAACTGGAGCATCATTGTCAACGTGTTCATCACATGCAAAACCAAGTTTAATAACAACAAACAAGAATCATCAACCTTTTACTTTTCCATTTTCCCTTTCTAATGAAAAAAGAGAGACAAAACCATTAACTAAACCAATGAAAACACCCAAAAATAGTAGAAATTTCACAGCCAACCTCCTTGTCGGCCGGTCGGTGAGTCCCTCATTTTGCATGGCAAATCTCCACGTGCCCTAGGTGCATGGCCACGTATAGATGAACCAAAAGAAACGCTCGTAGCTAGTCCCTTTTCTTCTCTTGATTCTTTTCTAATTTTTTCTGCTGGGTCATTAATGTTTTTTCTCCTCATTCTTTTGATATTTTTATCAAAGAAAACAAGTCTTCTCCTCCCCTGATATCTCGTAGCTTTAAATTGACTGATGAGAGGATTAAAATAAATATATATATACATATTTCAATAGATATTTTCTCGAGAAAAAATAGAGCCCTGGAAAATGAACGGACGATTTTCACTTGTATTGACACCTGCATTTCAGTCCAAACCCTAAACCTTAATTAATGGCCTATTTATACTCACACTCTCTGCACTGGCTAGTCACCATCAAAAGATCTGTCTCTCTCTATTTCTCTCTTTAGCTCACAAAATCTGTCTCCACTTTCTGTCTCTCAAAAATGAAGAGAGCAAAAGTGAGCGCTGTGTATGAAGGAAGGATCGGAAAGAGAAGCAAGGAAGAGAATGAGAATGACTCAAGGATTGCAAGGATGCATGCAAAAGCTAGAAAGAACGGGCTGAGAGCCAAGAAAACTCAGACCTTTGTGGTCACTGAAAGGCGAAGAAAGGCTAGATCAAGCACCAAGAGCAAGGTTTCACCAAACACAGAAGCGTGCATGGTGAAAGATCAGGAGAAGAAACTTGAAAATGTTGAAGTCATCGAAATCATCGACGATGATCCTATACTTGACATTGGAACCCTCTTCGAGCCTGAACTTGTTAACCAAGTGCTGGCAGAACCTCTGAGAGCTGAGGTGATATTCCTGGAGAAACATGAAGAAGGGCCTGAATGGTGGGAAGAGTACTGGCCAGTGAGCTACCGAACCAACGAGGAGAAAGCAATGGAGATGAAGATGAATGGTTTTGTAGGTGGAATGACTGAAGAGGAACTCTGGTGGGATGACATATGGAACTTTAGAGACATGAATGATCATTTCCCAAAGGCTCATGGAGCTGGAGAACGTATCTAGGAAGGGAAGGAGCTAGCTAGGGTGAGAATATACCCTCACTTCGTAAGTAAGAAAATGCTGTATGCATTAAATAAATAAACCTAAGCAGCTGGTTTGCTGTGTATAATATGGATCCTATGTATTTTGTGTTCATGCATGTACGCAGTTTGATGTTTTAACCCTAGAGTGAGTTGGCGTCTTTTATTTGTAATTTCTTCTGTATAACAATGTAGAATAATATAATATAAATTATGTTGTCTGTCCCCAATCTCTTCCAGTACTTGATTAGTTATCAACTGTTTAAAACTAGAATCCTTTGATCAGATTTTCCTTTATAAAATGATAAACATCATGTTCTCGAAATCTTAATCTTTTATTCAAATGGTATTGGACAGATCAGTAATTAAAGATCTTAGAATCTATTATATTTCTAACAGCTGAACATTTTTCTCCAAATTAAGAAAAAATTGTAAACTACATTTATGTGAACAAATATATATAACCTGCATGCCTAAAATAATTTTAATTAGCAAATTCATTGGAATTGTGATGTAAGGTAAGCTCAAAATCGTTCACCTAGAAGCAGCAGTTAGACATTTCCCAATTCCATAAAAGATGTTGGGTTAAATTAAAGAAATAATTAACATCCATAAAATTGCTCTCAAAATAGATTTCGTGCCACCAATAAGTTGTTAGTCTAATGATAAGCAAGTTGATCTCCAAATGAATTTCAGATTTGATGGTTTAATCTTAGCACTACTATTTTGTATATGATTAGTTTTACTTTTAATAGTAAAAGAAGATATTTAGAAAAAATATGAGACCGATCACCGCATTTTGTGTTAAATGCAAGTCTTTCGATTTTATTTGCTGAAAAATGTGAGTATTCCAAAAAAACAATTTAATTACAATCTATTGGACGTCTTCATTGAATGATTCCTTATACATTTTGATCATCAAATGAAAAAAATAAGATCCCGAGATCCAAACTTATGGACCAAAAACACAAAAATTTAGGGTTGCAGGAGGAAAGATATACACAAGAACTTGAAACAAAGTTACAAAAGGAAAAAAGGGAGAATTTGTTACATTTAGTTGTTTCATGTGAATCAATTCAATTACTATGTGTTGCATGTGTACCAAATCAATAAGATTATCATAGATTTTGTTAACATTAGTGGTGGCTACATTATAGGGTCAATGACCGGGTTATAAATAGGCCAATGATCACGGGATTACAAATCCGATTGTAGGCTATTTTGATTTGTACAACTTTTCCTTCTTTGTATAGCTTTTACTTCCTTTTATTTAGAATCCATTACTTTGTATGTGTGTGTGTGTGTGTGTGTATATATAATAACCCATCCTAATATTAGTATAGGTGCCTAAGATCCAACCATATTTGGATATGTTTGAGTTATTGTATTATTGTATTATTTATTTTATTAATAATAAAAGAAGTCTTTCTATTAATTTTTATTGCTTATATTTATTCATTGAATAGAATTAGATAGAGGTCCATATGATATGCATTTACATTAGTGATTGATCGAAATATGTGAGACAAATACTAATGTACATGAAAGATATCATTAAATGTCCTAAGTTGTAGCATTGTCAAGAATGAACATTGACTATATGCGATTAGACTTGTGAGTGCTATGCTCATGCTATATGATAACGATGAAAGATCTCACACCTATTAGCATGATGATTCCAAAGCAAGCACTTAGATGATTTACGTTAGAGAACATATCATTGGACTTGACTCGTCATGAGAACCCATTTGGTTTAGTCTATGAAAATCTCATACAAGATGGGTACAATTGATCCTTAGACTTGAAGTCATCATGGTTATCTCATTGAAGGATTTGTGTACTCATTTTGACGGACCTAGTAAAGGGTTACACGTGGATGATGATTTGTTGGGTGTACTAAAAATCTAATGGAGGTAGGTGGATAACTAAGAAAGGACATGCCATTCCTTGCATGCCAAAGGAGTTATCACATTGCACTTCGATGAATATTTACTTAAGAAATCTATGACTACGGTAGGAGTACACTAACGGAGCATAATTAGAATATTCTAAGAGTTAAGACATTTGAGAATCAAAGAAAACTGGTGTGATCATAATCAAACAAGACTAATAACCAAGTTTGAGATCACACTATAATAATTTGACATGATGACTGAATTGTATGATAACCATGCTCGTAAAAGGTAATTACGGATTAATTAATCCTCTTAGAGAATTGGATAGTCATGATGCCTTGCTAAAGGTCAATCTTGATTTATGTATCAAGAGATAGAAGAGGTGTCTTTTATTTTTGATACATTGTCAACATATCTAGGAGCCTATTGAGTCACACACATAAGATTAAGTATTCACATAATAAAATAGAAGCAAAGATGGAAAAAAGTTTCAAATTTTGAAAGTTTCCTAATTTGAAAAATGTTTCCAAAAATGAAAAGTTTGTTAAAATGGAAATTTTTTTATTTTAGAAATCATTTTCCTAATTTGAAAGTCGGTTCCAAATTTGAAAGTAAATAACCTAAAAGAAAATTAGTTTCCTAATTTAGGTTTAAGGGTAATTTAAAAAATTATTTCCTAATATGGTCTTTTGAAATTATCTAACCTAATTTATGTGGATAGTCCAAATTAATTAATTGGGCCAAAGTAATTTGGTCCAATAGGTTTAATAAAAGCCTAAAAGATATTTTAGTGGGAGGATAAATATGAACCTTATTTGATAAAGATGAATGTTTTAAAGGATAACATCAAACAAGCCTACATGCATAATAACTCAAGGATTAGTAAGCAACAACCTAGAGTCATTTAGGGACTCATTGTCGTCTCCCTTCTTGCCTTTAGAGGACAAGGAAACCTCTCCTCGATATATATATATATAGGAGAGAGGTGCGAAAAATAGAAGAGAGAGATAAGAGAAAAAAAAAAAAGAAGGCAAAGGGAAATTAGGGCACACGACTTGATATAACAATAAAGAAAAAAATATTTTTCTCCCTAACCCTAGCACATATCACCTTTCCTCTCATTCTTAAGGTTTTCACAAAAATCCATGAATTGATTTCTAAAGCAAAACAAAACAAAATTAGAAAAAGTGGAGCTAGCATTTTATCAATTTTTAGTGCTTCTTGTATAGTGCTTGGACTGCATGGATTATCAATAGAGGCTGAACACTTGGATGACTCCTTTTCCGTAAAGGTTTAAATTTATGTCATAAGAGGTAATCCTTTATTTATACGCTTTAATTCATGAATATTGTTACTGTAGGTGCCCAAGATCTAACTATGTTTGGATAGGTTTGAGTTATTGTATTATTGCATCATTAATAATAAGTAAGTCTTGCTATTAATTCTTATGTTTTTATATTTATTAATTCAGTAGAATTAGATAGAAGTCTTTATGATATGCATTTGCAATAATGATTGATCGAAATATGTGAGACAAATACTAATGCACATAAATGATATCATTAAATGTCCCAAGTCATAGCATTGTCAAGAATGAATATTAACTGGATGCAATTAGACTTGTGAGTGTTATGCTCATGCTATATGATAGCGAGTAGAAGATCTTACACATATTGGCATGGTGATGTCAAACGAAGCACTTAGGTGATTTATGTTAGAGAACATATCATTGGACTTGACTCACCATCATAACCTATTTGGTTTAGTCTATGGGTTTCTCATACAAGATGGGTATAACTAGTCCTTAGTCTTGAAGTCATCACGGTTATCTCATTAGAGGATTTATATACTTTGACACTTGTTTCGATAGACCTAGTAAAGGATTGCAAGTGGGCGAATCATTGGGCATACTAAGAATCTAATGAAAGTAGGTAGATGATTAAGATAGGACATGTCATTCATAATATGCTAAAGGAGTTATCACATTACACTTAGATGAATGTCCGCTCAAGAAATCAATGACCATAGTAGTAGCACACCAATAAAGTATAGTTGATTTACTATATGAGCTAAGATATCCGAAAATTGAAACAAACTTATGTGATCATAATTGAATAAGACTAATGACCAAATTCTAGATCACATTGTGATAAGTTGACATGAAGATTGGATTATATGGTAACCATGCTCGTGAAAGGTAATTATGGATTAATTAATCATCTTAAAGAATTGGATAGTCATGATGCCTTGCTAAAGGCCAATCTCGACCGATATATCAAGAGATAAAAGAAGTGTTTTTTATTCTTGATACATTATCAACATATTTAGGAGCCTATTGAGTCATACACATAAGTTTAAGCATCCACATGATTAAAGAGAAGCAAAAATGTTGGAAAAAGTTTCCAATCATAAAAGTTTCTTCTTTTGAAAAAGGTTTTTGAAAATAGAAAGTTTCTTAAAATGAAAAGTTTCTAAAAATAAAAAGTTTTCTATTTTAGAGATCAGTTTCTTAATTTGAAAGTTAGTTCCAAATTTGGAAGTAAACAATTGAAAATGAAATTTTTTTTCCTAATTTAGGTTTAGAGGTATTTTAGAAAATTATTTCCTAATATGGGCCATCTAAAATTATCTAACTTAATTTATTTAGATAGTCCAAATTAATTAATTGGGCCAAAATAGTTTCGGGTCAATAGGTTTAGGTAAAAGCTTAAAAGATATTTTGGTGGAAGGATAAACATGAACTTTATTGGATAAAGATGAATGTTTTAAAGATAAAGATAAAAAAACTCACATACAAAATAACTTCTAATCCTTGAAGGATTAGGAAGCAACAACCAAGAGTCCAATTAGGACTAGTTGCTGCCCCCTCCTTGTCTTTCACTCTCCCCTTATAAATAGGAGGAGAGGTACGAAATAACATGAAGAAAAAGTGAGAGAAAAATTTGACACACATAAAATAAAAGGGACATATGACTCGAAAATAAGAAGTAAGAGAAAATTATTTTCTCCTTAACCTTAACACGTCACTTTTCTCCTCTCTCTCTTTGGGTTGTAACAAAATTACCTTAATTAGATTTATATAGAAAAC